ATATATATATATATATATATCGCGTTTATTAACAGAACTACAATCTTGAGTTACTAAAGTGTACAATAGCTAATGTACTTTCAGTAGAAAAAGCAGCTTCAACAATTGTAGTAAAATTCTTGAATATGATTAGTTTATACATTTAGAAAATATAAATAATAAAGAGATTTAATAGAACTTGAAAATTCCGTATTTTTACACGAAGTTGCGCACCGCTTCTTAAGATAACAGGAATTGTAACAGAGTATTATGTCAGAAGATTGAAATAACTCTCTTGATCTCTACGCTGTCAATTCATACCACAAGCGAGGGAAAAAAATTATTTCACCATTTTAACTTGTAAACATTGCGTTTGTAATTTTATGTTATTTCTTTTCAATAATTCTTTATGTAATTTTAATTTAATATTATTGTAACACCTTCCGACTAGTGTTAATTAGTTTCTAAGAGTTTCTTTGTAAGATCTTCATTTTTTGTCATCTTGTGTATACTGATGATGGTCAAATCTTAACCGAAACGTCTACTTATTTATTTGTGAATTTTAAATATATGACTTGCGTTAACATCTATTGTTGTGGTTGTATGCTCTTTATTATTTATATTTTGTAATTGTTTAGCCACTTTCAAACATTTTACATTTATACATTTAGATCCAATAAGAAACTAAGGGCAATCATATTAAAGAATTTTACATTGCAAAGCTACCTTTTCTATTAAATACTACCAATAACGCATACGGTACTAAATAATGTGCTTGAGTTTCTCAACTTAACCTGTGCGGATTGTAGTCTCTCCATGAGAAGGCGGTTATAGTTAATATACAAAAGTCTATAGATCAAACTCACAGGTATTGTTCGTGCTGGAATAGGTGGAGGATATTCCTGTCTCTCTGGTAGTGCAGGAGGTTGATTACTACTTTTTGCATTGACCAATGGCCGAATATCTTCCTGCACTGCACTCATACCTCCATTTCTTTCAATAAAATCATAAATAAACTTCCGAGTGCCTTTATCTTGAAGTTCATATTCCGAAACACCAGCATTATTAAAAAATTGTTGTAATTGTAAATCTACAGAATCTAATTCTAGACCTTTATTATTTACATCCCATCCTAAATGTGCCACATGTCTGTAAACAAATATATGTTTACATATATATATATATATATATATATACATATATAATTATTATATATAATAATTATTATGTATAATTATTAATATTATTAATTGGACATATTACATAAAATAAAATTTTAATCTATACCTAAAATTAGAAGGTAGGCTAATATCATCCTTAGTTAATTTACGCTTTAGATCTTGTTCGCTCTTTTTCTTTTTCTTTTTGTACATGGAACTGCTAGAAGCACTTCTATTGACACCAACTGTAGCAAGTGCACCATTTGACAAATTACCCGATGAACCTGATGTAACAGTAAAGGATGATATGCTACTTTGATTCTTCCAAGTAATATTACCTTGCATTTCTTTTGCTTTTCTTTCTTGTCTTCTTTGACGTTTAGCATTTAATTTTCCAAGAAGTATATTTCTATTTAAAAAATTAAAATATCAGGAGATCAAACATTATTTCTATATATCATTCTTTATCATGTGTATTTTTTAATTAATCTAATTTACTTATAAAACTTTTGTTCATTCTTATTCAGGGTATTTATCAAAATCTTGTAAAAAAATTTCCTGAGAATTCCTGAATTCTGTAGATATTTTTGCTTAAAATTCTAGATAAAATTAGAGAATTTTTAAATGCAATTCTCAAATAAATTGAAGTGTAAACAATGCAAACGAACTATATATTATAAATTAGTCGAAAATAGGAATTCTGTTTATAAAATATTTATAATTTTCTATAACTGGAGTTGTGAAACCTCTATAAGCTAATATAAAAAAAACTATTTGTAATATCAGTAAATGTAATATTAGTTCTGTTCCTCTGAGTATTGCTTTTACTGTCACTCTAATTTTCATTATAAAAACTTGCGAGACATGTACACGAGAATGTACACGGATGCATGTCATACTTATTATTAATTAATTGTCAACATTTTGCATGATCAAAGAAAATTGATAAAAAAATTATTATTACTATATTTGTATATTGAATCAAACTGATTATTGTATTTATCTATTTACATATAAATATTACTAAACACGAAGAGCCACTTTGACTGAAAATGGTTTCCTTCTCTTTTTGTGTCATCACAGAAACAATATTTTCAGAAAAAGACAGAATGTAAATTTTAAAGTAAAATTCTACAATAAAAATACTCTGAATACCAATAAAATTCTATCAATAAAATTTTCAATGATAAAAAAAAATCCCTGGGAATTCCAGGTTTTAAACACTGTTATTCATATTAATGTACCTTAATGTAATAGCTTCGGTTTCACTTGCAAAATTAAATGCAGCCATACAATCCTCTGCCTCAAATGTATGAAAATATGACATTGGTGCTTTGTAATCCATTGAATTATATATTTCATGTTCCCATATCATTATCTTCCTTTGCAAACAATATAATCGCAAAAAGAAACTGCGTCTTGGATTATCTCTTATTAGAGTAATAATACCTGTATTCTTTTTAACCCAATCCTTATGTAAGGGAGCTTCAGTCAAATATAATTGTATAACACCAGCTGCTAAACACTAAAACAGCAATATAAATAAGCGATACAAAAAATAAGTGTATAGACAACATATTTTATTTTAATTTTAAAAAAATATAAAAATGTCTATACTCAATTAAAATTATTTTATAATTATGACACTCCTGATAAAAAATGTTAATTAATTCTGTAATATACTTATACAAATAAAATAATTTATATACAAGTTATAATTATTTCTTTGATATAATATTTTATTTTAATATTTCAACATATTTTATAATTATATACTTTTGCTGCCTATATAAATTTATGCAAATAAAATGAGCACACAATTTAATTTATAAATCTAGACCGTACATATGAATACATCGTATACGAGAGAGAATGCCATTAATTCAGTCAAAGTTAGATGTTTCGAATATATAATACAATTAAATAAGTTTATTTCAGATATGATTGCAAGCCGATAACTTTCGGATTCAACACAGTCTGTGAAACATTATTAATCCCCTTAATTAAATTCTCCCTAAATTAATTTTAAAAAACTAAAGAAATTATTGCGAAAAATATTACCTCAGCCAGGGTTCATCAGAGGTAATTAATTCTCACAATAATTTCTATAATATATTTAAATTTAATTTAGGAAGATTAGTAATGTTTCAGACTATATTGAATCCGGAAATTATAGGCTCGCAATCATATCTAAAATTAATTTATTTAATTGTATTATATATTCAAAACATCTAACTTTGACCGAATTGATGGCGTTCTCTCTCTCGTATATGATATAAATAATATAATTAGGTGTAAATACAAAATTACAAATGTTCAGATATATTTACACACAAACAACACTTTAAAAAATAATAAGTATCATATATTACAAATCGTAATTTTATTACTATAATCATAACTAAAAAAAAACTAAGATTTTTTTAAATATCATATTTTCTTTAATTTCTTCTTTGATACCTAGCTGAATAATTATAACTATATGCATTTTTGTAAATATATGGCCATGCATTTTTTCAGTTTTTCATTGTTATGAAGAGTTATTAATAAAAATTAAACATATAAAAGTTATGCGTTTCGCGGAGGCTGCTCCTCACTCTGATGAAGTGGACTGCAAGGTTCATGAAACATTGGCATTTCAAGAATGGATCTAGACATGGAGGAAACCCATGAAACGCATAACCTTTATATAGAAAATACCCATGGAAGTTTCAAGAATATTATCAAAAATTAAACATAATTAACTAAAGATATAACTAAATAAGTTGTCGAATGTTATTCAAGACAAACATAAAAAGTAATGAAAAGGACCCAGCCATTTTATGGAAATTGATGGAACTGTCTAAATTTTTGATATGTAGCTTTCGGCATCCAGTATAAATATCTTTATATATCACAATCCACAAAAATCAACTCTTTGTCTGCTACCAGTAAATATATTATCTGTAAATGTTGCTAAATCTATTTATTAACTTTACTTTGCAATTGTTCCAAAAAAATTCCTACTCTTAACATGATCCAGATGTGATGTGCCATTAAACTGATTCCTTTTGTGTATATGTGACAAGATCTCTTAATTCATATTCTATTTGCAGCATCTTCCACATTTTGAAATAAAAAAGTGAATGGATATTTTGTTTTCAATGAAAGTATAGTGAGAGAATTATTTCAGAACAATCACAGACATTATTATATAGTTACTGTTAGATCTATTTATTGGCTTTTACTTTATCAACTAATAGGGAAAAATTTACTTTTGGGAGTTGTCCCATGAAAATTTGTTTGGGATGCTACAACATATCAAAATTTTAGACAATTTTGTCCAAACTCAATTTCAATAAGATTGGCAAGATTCTTTGAAAGAAAAATTAAAAACTATTAATATACTATTATAATATTAATAAACTATTTGTCAATTGAATGTTGAATTAGTAGATAAATACGTACGTACGTTTTTTTTTATGCATGATACATCATTCTATCATAGACTGCGTTTAGCAGAATGTTTATTTTGCAACTACTGAAAGTTTTCTTTGCATTGATTGTATTATACTTTTAGATCTAAAATAATGATCCTATCTCAGCAAACAATCATAAAATAGTTGCAAAACTGTTGTGTTCTGCTAAACGCAGCCATACATTGCTTAACATTTGATGAACAAAAAAATAAAATGACATTTCATATAAATCATATGTAAAACAAATCACACAACGAGATATTCACATTAAACATTGATAATTATGCGAAAAAATTGTAACCTGGCATCGATTTCCTATTAACTGGAAGACATGTTCATTTTCCTCCGGTTTCAGGAGTATTGTACCTCTATGCATATCCGTATTGTCCGACTTCATGTTATCGATCAAGGTTAAAATCGTCACGGACCCAAATATTCGGTCTAAGGTTGTTTTTCTTTTCCTACCTAAAACGGTTCCTTTATTATCGTTATAATATTAATACAATAATCTATCGCCCATTCGTGTAGTCGTATACAGAGATGATCGTCTTGGAGAGAAAAAAAGACGAGAATTTCAAAAATATATATATCATTCCTAAACTAAGAATAACTTTCAATAAAAAACCGCTCCTTAAATCTTTGATATTCTGCGACAACAAATACCCTCGGATAAATATACGTATCCAACACGAAAAAATTTTCAAGTTATCAATGACACTTCCCATCTGTTTCTATCACCGTAGAATTAATAAAGGTGCATTTACATGTACGTGTTAAGCAATGGAAGCAGCAACCAATCAGCTGGGATATACGGATAGTGGCACAGTATAGCGGAGAGTACAGACTCTTGTATAAGGCCGGAATCAGACTACGCATTAAAGAATAAGATTAAAGATTAAAATTTCACCAATAAGGACAAAAAAGTTTTGGCTCCTTTTATTCTGATTGGTCAAACTTCAATCTTTCAATCTTCAAATCTCATTCTTCAATGCGTAGTCTGCTGCCGGCCTAACGCATAACACGTAATGCATAAGAAATTTAACTAATCTGGGTTCTTTATTCCATGGAAAAGAAAGAAACGAAGAACGTTGATTAGTACATTTTCTTATGTATTACGTGTTATGTGTTATGCAAGAGTTTGTGCTCCCTATTTATAGTTGCGTTCCATTACATATTAGGTTAAGTAAAAAGTCATCGCGTATTTTTTAGCTCAAAGTTGTATATACAATATCTTCGTCAATAATGAATGAAATTCAAATTTAAAAAAAGGGTTTTAAAGCTTTAAATCTCTACTTTTAAAAGCTTATCACATTTTTTAAGTTTATATGAGTTTGATAATTTTTACATACCAAAAACTACGAGCTGAAAAAGACGAAAAATTTTCTTCTCACTTTGTGGATTTGTAACGTGTCCAAAACGAATTTGAGAAAATTTTCGATTACCTATCGTGAAAGCTTGATACTTTCCCTACAAAATCGTTTTTTTTTAATATTCCTACGACTTTTGATTACTGAGTTATCGCGGATTAAATAAAAGAATTATTTTGACTTTAATTGCTCATAACTCCATTAAAAATTGTCGTATCGTATAATTTAAAAAAGAGATTTTTAAAGCTGAAACTTTACTCTATCAAGATATATTTACATATATTGTTGGTAAGAAAGTAATTGCGGTTTTTACTAATAGATGTCTTTTAAAAAAACGCGATGACTTAACCTAATATAATATATAATATGCATCATTTATTTCTGTTTAATATTTAGTGAATAACAAGTGGTCTGTTTTCTGTTTCTGCACTGTTTTAAAACTCTCTTTCGGGCTTTCAACAAATATCAAACTGTGAAGAGACATTTACACTTGCACGCACGCACGCACGCACGCACATTCTCACACTCTTTTAGCTATATTTCATGCCTTATACTCGTTCAGACACACACTCCGCGACTAGATGACGCGCTCTCACAAACACAATACTGAATTTCCCATCTAGCACACACACCCATACTCTCTTTTTAGTTCTTCTTCAATCGCGACACACACGAGACATTGAGTTACATTTGTCGCGATAAGATATTGTATGTGCTAATAAACAAACGTTATTACTTGTGAATCTGGCTTTCCTTCATTACCTACATTTATTATATGTAGCAATCCGCTACAAAACGTATATCTATAATATCTCACTTTAAGTTTCAAAAGTGTACAGTAGTTCAGCCACAGCATACAAACCTACGGATAAAAGATACATCATGCGCATCATACGTGAAACGAAACACAGCCCCAGTAGCGACACTAACGTCGGCATCTTTGGTAGCTGTTCTTCAGTCACATGATTCACCGCCATATTATAAAGTGTATATACTCTGCTGCGTTCAGAATTGTTGTCCGGATGCATTCAGATGTTTTATCTTTGTTGTTTACGAATGTTAATATGTCATAGTTTTTAGGAACTGCCGCAGACAAAATTTTTGTAACACAGTAATCTTAAGACATGAACTTAAATCTATAAATCAATCAGGATACTGCTTTAGATCTATATACTCTAAGGCCGGAATGTACTCTAAGACTATGCATTAAGGATTGAGACACCGACGAGATACTATTAAAGACTCAACAAATTTTCGGCGGTATAAAAAAGACTCCAAGGACCCGGAGGTAATTGAAGAACGCTGATATTATCGGCAATTGATATAAATTTGCTATCATTAACATAAATATTTGGTTCGTACATTATTAAATTCATAATTTTTTATTACATAAATGTTCTATAAATAAATATGCATACTTGTAAAGCTATAATATTCTATATATTGCAGAAAAATTACAATTTTTTTCTCTACAGTTATCATCTCTGTTGATAATCAAATTTTGATGATAGCACTGAAATTACAGTTTTAAAGAAAAATCAAGTATTATTGAGTTCTAAATGCAATACGTTCACTAAACTAATAAATCATAAAATTAATACAATATTTTCAGTTTTTAACTCTTAATTACAATACTTCAATATTCACAAGGACGTCAACTCCCGTAAGGATGTCGATTTTTAATAGTATCTCGTCGGTGATTGAGATTAAAGATTGAAATTTTATCAATGAGGACAAAGAAGTTTTGGCTCCTTTTGTTCTGATTGGTCAAACTTCAATCTTTCAATCTTCAATCTTTTTCTTTAATGCGTAGTCTGATTTCAGCCTAACGGAAATAGAAATAACAGTGAACTTATCCATGCGGCGAGTTTCAACCGGTTGAAATTCAGCTTATTGCAAGGTTATGATAAGTTATTTCCATTTCCGTAATCTAAAATTCTATAATTTTTTAAATTACGTAATCTAAAGCAATCCTGATTGGCTTAGCGACTTAAGTTTACACCTTACACATACTGTTTATGGAATTTTGTCTGTGGCAGCTCTTAAGGAATTAGGAATAAGGAATAAGGCTTTCAACCTATTAGAAACCGTGTATTCTAGTGTATCCAATATCTGATAGGTTGAAAGCCTTATTCTTTATTCCTAATTCCTTATTTCTTCTATTGTGGCTGCATCTTTAAGCTCCTAATACGTCCGCCATATTCCTAAGTGTACAAACCGACACATACGCACTAAAATTTACAGATCACAAAAAAGTTTACTGTTGCTACCCAGGTAGCAAGCTACATTATTTTGTCGTCACTTTGACGTCAAATGATATCATTTTGACGTCAGCTTGCTACCAGGGTACTGAGTAACGTCCGCCGATAAAATAAACGCGAACGTATTTCTACTTAGCTCGAAGCGATCGCGCCACACGTACAATTTCCAAGCTGGTGTACTCTGATAAACATAACATTACGTTGACAACATAAAGTCGCTATAATAAATGGAATATTGCTATGATTACGGAAATATATAATTAATGTAACACAATATCTATACAAGCACAGTAGTTATAGTTCTATTTATTTTCATTTTCTTTTCCTCAATTCGAAGTTAATTAACAACAAATGATAAGAAAAGGAACGAGTTAATAAATGTATCTTTTAACGCATTGCATAACAATACTAAAGACTAAAATATAATGATTTCCAAATATTAAACGTTAACCCAATGTTATCGCTCACAGAAATATATATAAATATATATAATACCATTTTATATATAACAATACATTTCTATAATCTTAAAACGTCTAAGTTAATAAATAACTACCAAGTAGTATAAAATAATCAAATATATTCATTGAATCTTTTTCTCTTAGCGAGCCAACGTAGACGACACAAAGGAGTGTCGCGTGTTCTTATCTCTAAGGGGAGGTAATTACTCCGAAAGAATTCCGTCAAAATTTAGAATCTCTCAAACTTTATGGAAATGAATTCCCCTTTTATTATTGCAGTTGCGACAACAATTAGAGGGAAATTTACCACTTATAATTATTCTTAGTTTATATTATATATCGTTATTATATAGGTTTATATTATATATCTCCCGTTTAAATACTTTATATTATAGTTTAACTTTAATGTTTATTATTAATGTTTATAATTAATTAATCTTAGCTTACTACGATTTAATCTGTATAACACCTATTACTGTAATAAACAACGAAACTATTGCTTAGCGGTGAATTGAGCGTTCATAGAGGAACACATGTATTCGAATTTAGATATATGTATATATTGTATATATTAACGAAATTAATCTACCGCTTTACGAGATAAAGCAAGGAAATTAGAAGGACAAAAAATCAAAATCTAAAGTTTGCAGAATAATTATTTTTTTTTTTTCAAATGGAAGAATAGACGCTCAATTGACTGTCGCAGTCGACTTTCTTTGTCTTACTCGAGATTCGAAGACGGTAACTCATCGTCGCGGAGACAGCTGTCTCCGAGCGCTCATCAGGTTAAGACGTCCTATTGCACTGTCTCAGACGCTAATCCAATATTGAATCTAATTCTATCTCGTATGCTGTTTCTTGTGCTGATCAACTTCAACTCTAATTCTAGTTTATCGTAGATCTAAAAGATAATTAATTATTATTATTATGCATATCTAAGGCTTATATATATATTATATATATATATTATATTATATATACATATATATATTACATATATATATATTAGATATATATTATATATATATATATATATATATATATATATATATATATATTTTTCTGTATAAACTTTAAGCGATATCTATATTTTATTATATCATACATACTACAATATATTATAATACATCAAGTAATAATTATCATTTGACATCTTAAATATATCTTGATATTTATGTACTTATTATTTTTTTACATTCATTATTTTCGTTTATAATAGATTTCATATAATGACTTTCGTTATTTTAATTACTTTTTGACTTTATTCACATAGTTTCCAACATCTACATATATGTATTTTATTATTTTTAGCAATCTAAAACTCTTTGATTTATTCGATATGTGAATATTTAACAATAGATTTTAATTTTAAAACATTCAGATATTTCAGAATTTTCTTGAATTATATTACTACGTTTACACATTATTGCGTTATATTTATTATTCTAATTATATTCAATATTCCAATTATATCAGATTATAAATGGAGATGAATTATTTTATTATATTCATTTAATGCATTAGTTGAATATTTTTATAATGCTCAATTATCATAGCCCATGTTAGCTATCCACTAAATAAATATATGCAATTTATACATATTATATTATTCTTTCATACATACTGTCATTTCATGTTCTGTCATTATTATTGGACTCTTATTTAATATAATAATTATTTCACCTTACAGCTATTTTAACTTACTTTAATAAATTATATCGAGAATGATATTCCCTTTCCCCTTAATCATTTTCTTGATCGGTTTCGTCTATCATTTCGACAAATTAAAAGTTGCCACCTCGTCAACCTAATGTTATTTTAACTTTCATGGTTTATGACTATTACGTTAACATCGAGCCTTAATTAAATTATCCAAGCTAAGTAAGTTTCCACTCG